AACACGGAAAATTAAAAAAACTACGTAAGTTATAATCTTGTCATATCTAAACACACATTTCAGGTACCTAGGGTATTTAAGTTAATTTAAGTAAATTGTTACCGTCAACGTCGATTAGCCCATAGTAGGCCTAGACCGGTACCATAAGTTAGTGTTCAATTTGGGTGAATACTTAAATGACACCTCTGAGTTAAGTTTGCGTAATTCGTTGGAAAAGTTTTAAGAAGGTCATAGACGATTTTAATAGAAGTGTGTGAGCTAAAGAAAAACCAGTCATGACCTACATTCTACCGTCGTTGCACGTGTCAGTTTTATTTTTGAAATTTTGTGTTTTTTAATTTGTGTTTTGGCCAATTAATGGATAATGTTTCGTGTATGTGTATACGTTATTTGTATTGTAAGTTAGTTAACCAACTAGAAACTAGGATCACTTGATGGATACATGTAATTTAAACCTTTTGTTGTAAAAATGTGTGATCCAGAGGCTATAGGCTACCATAAAAATAAAGAAAACAAAAGATGTCCCTAGTGTTCTTAAACCAGCCCAGGACTACTTGGGCTACGGTAACCTAAATAAAAATTATGATTTAGGCTAACGTGTTCGCTGCGGCCCACCAATGGCAGGCGTAGCCCCAGTGCAGCGTCGAGTGAACCCGTTTGGCTTTCAAATATTTTGTTCTGTTCTGAAGAATAGCAAATGACATGCTGCATTGTGACAAGAGTCGACGTAGTTTGCTGATACACTCACAGATAGCTGCTCACTGTCTGGAACTAGTCGGAACCATTGTATTGCCAACTGGAGGTAGAAAGACGAGACCAAGTTTATTTATAAGCTTGCCAGAAGGGGATTTAACTGGGAAATTTTCCAAGAAACAGTTGAATGGTGAACAAAGCAAGTCACACAGTACACGCTAACGTGGTGATAGGTCCTCCTTTGACCGACCCCAAGTTATTTTACAATCGTCTTAGCATATTGAATGACAAGATCTATTGCACTGTATGTGTTTAATAATAATTTTTTTTTTTCTTGTAGCCTATCTACTCCAGTGGCATTTTTATAATGAGATAATTTCAAAGACTTTTAAGGGAAAGCGGTCCAAACCCATTACAAAGTTTTGTGGATGTGCCGGGGATTGAACCCGTCCCTCCCGCACCGAAGTCCGAGATGCTAACCACTAGGCTAGCAACACAACCAAGCAATATAATTTGGCTGCACTTTACTTGACGTCCTACACTCATTCGAATGAAAATATCGATCGATATATCGATTAATCGATTGCTTCATTCGATATATCGTTTGGTTAGTTAGGTAAGGTTAACCTAACCTAACTAACCAAACGATATATCGAATGACACAATCGAATGAAAATATCGAATCGAAAAAAAAACAATCGAATGAGTGTAGGACGTCAAGTAAAGTGCAGCCTATAATTTTACAGCATCTGAATAAGTTATTGGGCCTCGATTTAGCCTTTAGAAAATTAGGATTTTGGTTGTTTGAATAAATTAGTGTTAGATCAATACAATAATTCTATAGCCTAGTTCGATAATCCTATTAAGTTAGAGTCAGATATCAAAGTTCTGCAGGAAAAAATAAGTCAAAGAAAACATCAAAAGGATAACAAATAAGTTAGTAAGAAGAAAAAAACGTTAAAATTAATTTGAACTTATCAGGCCCTAGGCCTACAGATTAGCATTTTTGTATTATGAACACTAAATATAAGCAATGAATGGCACTGAATTGTCATTAGATTTATTTTATAACAATAGTTTCAGCTAATATAGTGGGATAAACAATTTAAACTAAAATAAATTTAAAATTTACCTTCTATATCTTCTCCACAATCGCAAATCACAGGGCCATTTTTGTATTCATGACAATTGCAGAACGATGCATCAAAGGGACTTGTGTAGTCGGGATCTTGCTTGCAATAGACAATACGCCTGTTTATTAACTCCATATTAGGATGAAATTAGACCACTGAACATAACAAACTGCACTCAAAACAAACTCTTATCGCCGCTTGACAATGTCACAACCGCAAATTATAATGGCCGTCTTCACTCCGTCCGACGAGAAACAATTGCGTTGTTTGTTTTTCTGTCAGCTGTCTGTAATTTTACTGACTTTCTGCTACCAATTTTAGTTAACGCCGAATAACGCGATATTCGAGAAATTTCGATGACGTAACTGGTCACAGACAAATAACGAAAACTGGATTTTGTTAAAAGCATAGCAGCACTATATAAAATAACATGTCTCAAGTCTCATAGAGCTGACACTGTCAACGCTATGGGATTTCAACCTTGTGATATATTTCTGTCAAGCTAAAAGAATAAATTATTGATAATTCAAACTAAACACTTTTATGACACGTTAATCACCGCTGTGTGCAAATAGGAAGAACGCCAAAACACAGCATACACGTTAGTTAGGTCCACCAACCATCGTCACCAATGGCAAGGTGAGAACCACAGGGATAGGAGAGAATAAAATAAGCATAGCATTATATTCAGTGGCAGTGGCCATTCCAAGGAAGGGGGGCTACAGGAGCAAAGCATTGGACCCCGAAAAAGTAATTTTAAACATACATTTCATCTTAAAACGTAACTAAGTTTTTTTTTACACAGTTCTAGACGTTGAAAATAGCTGTAAAAAGTCACCAAACTGCATTAAAAAACAGCATTTTACAGGAGGAGGACCTCCAGACCCCACTCCTTTCTTGGGAAACCCTAAACCACCAGGTAGCCCTCTATTACTACCACTATTTGAATATTGAATCTAGCCCTCACCCTTTGGTCCTAGAACCGTCACTGACAGTATTAGTAGCTGCCCAGGTCCAGGAGCTACACATACTTCAAATCAAAAAATCTTTATTTTCCTTACATGTACATGGGTACAAAATAGTGTCAAAGTACTAATTAAACTAGCCTAGATATAAATACATTTTAAGTATGAATATTTATTCAACGATTTCCTGCATTGTATAAGGTGCCTTTCCAATTATTTTTTAATTTAGCTTTAAATAATTTACAATTGATTCCTCCTTTAACACGTTCGCTACCGAGCGACGCACATTTGCGTCGGTCCGGTCACTCTTACAGACTAAAAGGAATGATCATGACGTTGCTTACAGACCAAGTGATATAGGAATAACATTGCCGACAGACCAAAAGAGAAATATCGTTTAAATGGACTAATTGACTTCATAATAACCTTAAGTGAATTAGTAAGCAATAAATATTGTTTTTATTTTTCGTTATGAGCGAATTTTAAAACGCCGCATATATGCGTCGGTCAGTCTATTTAACGAAATCCAGTTAAAAATATTACATTTTCGTTTCAATAGACCAGGTGACGCACGTAAGCGTCGTTGTAAATTTGGTTGTTTCAAACTTTTACACAAACAACTAAAGAAACTCCACTAAACACTAGCCAAAACTGCAAAGGTTATAACGTTTACATCTGTTCTGTGATGTCGCGGAATACACAATGTAAACAACAATGTTGCCAACTGTTGTGTGACGTAACCAATCGTCATATCCACGGACCAAGCGACGCACATTTGCGGCAGATATCCCTCTAGACCGATACGATAAAATCCGGGTTTTAAAATAGACCGTTGCTAAGAAATACGCTGTTTAATAACATTAGAATACCGACGCAAATGTGCGTCGTTAGTCCATTTCAATGTGACCAGCTGACGCAAATATATGCGTCGGTGGTCTATTGTGAGAAACGAGTCGACGCACAATTGCGTCGCTGGTCTATGCGAACGTAAATTCCATATAATTGTGGTAGCGAACGTGTTTTAAGAGGCAGGCAATTTTCTTAGAATTAGTGATCCAGCAAAAGTCGGTTTCTTTTAGGAGAATTCCAGCAGCTTATAGGTTGAAGTTACAATATCCTTTTTATGTCTTAAATGTGGCACAACTGGCTCATATTTTATGCTGTCTCTTTTAGTTATACGTGCTATTTCAAAAAGTATAAGCTGCAAAAACTGTTAAAATATTTAGATTTTTGAAGTGGTACCGGTACTTATTGACATATAATTAAAATGATTATAAGTTTTGAGTTTAAAGTAAGGTACCACCTAGGTGGGTATTGCCATAGATAAAACATTAGTCTATGGTATTGCTGAAAATGATAGCAAGATAATCGTAGAATCTTTGGCTTTGAATGATATAAGCACAGACTAATTGACTAATACGTCTTTTATCCATGGTATACGCAGACTTTTCGTCCAATAAAATGAAGCTCTTTATCTGTGTCTTTGTGAGTTAGTGGAATAGTGGAGTTTGAGCGCTTGCGTCAACAAAATGTTTTTATATTGTTATTAGGGTAGAGTTTTTTATTTGTTGTTTGCGTTTTGGTTATAATTTTTAGGACAAGTATTAGCTTAGTATAGTTGATTGTTTTATTTTTGTAAAACAGATATATTTTTATCTTCATCAAACATTCACAACACAAACCCTTTTTTTTATTACTACAAAAGTAATTTGAACCCAAATGTAAACGAAATTATAAGTGTTGAATGGAGTTAGGTCTTGTTTAGCGTTGTTACTAGCCGAGACCGTCTGTTTCTACAGCCAGGGAAAATAACAACATAAATTAGCATTTAAAGTTTTTTTTTATGAACCCCTGCAATTTACTAAAGAATTACTATTTATTAAAAAAGTTTACGTATTAGTGTTTTTAAGTAAATTCATTATAATAAAATCATCGGATTCCTTGCCATAAACATTCTACTACGTTTTGCTTTAGGTCTGTTGTTAGTTTTTGTTAACACAATAGAATAGTCTGTAAAAATGTCAAATTACAGCTGATATAAACAAAAACTATTCTCGCCACCTGTCACGCTGTCATGTCAATCGCCCTCGCGAACAAAAACAACTATGAAAAACACTCCTTAGTCCATAGCATAGACTTTGGCACAACGATGGATATCAATATCAATAACCTGCAAAACCAGTCCAACGAGTCTTGGTCCTTTGTATTCTTTAATTGAATAGTCAACGGATCAACTGATGGCACGGGAGTAGGAGGGGTATATAAAGAGAACCGGTGTCTCTAAGCATTCAGATGCAGATCAGTTCATACTGAGTTTATGATTGTAGTCGCGATGGTAATCTGTGTCTTCAATATGCGGTCTTTGTTTATATTATCTGTTGTAGTTCTATCTACAACCTATGCTTTTCCTGATCTGAGTGCAGCACTCGATGAAAAAATGAAGGGTGAGTGATTTTGTTCTATTATAGAATATTAGTCCTAAGTTAAAGAAGTTGTCCATAACCTAGTTTCCCTTGTCAATAATAATAGCCTATTCGCCAAATAAATGTCTGCTGAAGTAACTTAATTCTTGTTCACAAAATCAATACATAAGTTATTTCGCATTTTCTAGCAAATATAATTTGTGGTTGAATTCTTCATGCAGCTCGACTTTCAACTTAGTTATCTTGGGCTCTAAAATCTGAAGATCATGTATATTTTTTCAGCCTAGGTATAACTCTTAGAGGTTAACCCTTCAAGGGGTAGAACTGCCTATTACAGTGGGACTATAATAGTCGCTGTAACTTAGTTGCTGTCTGTAGTGGCAGCGACTAAGTAAGAATAAGTAGTCATGTTTTGTAAGGATTTTAGATCTCCAAATAAACGGTTACCAAACAATTGTATAGCCGTAATTTGTATTTATAATTGTAATTTTAAAGATGGTTTTACATTGTATAAGCCTACCTACAAATTTAGTCATCGGCCGAAGTCATAACTTAAGTCATTTATTTGGCCAGATTTACATTAATGCATAAGTCAATATAGGTACATAAAAATACAGATTGTCTTATAAACTATAAAATAACTATTAAACTAAACAATATTTAATCAATTCATGAACCAAGCATACCATATGGCCATGACTACCCATCAGCAATAAAATCACGGCACGGTAGTAACACTTGGACACCAGTAATTTTTGAAGTGATTTAAAAAAATAACAGGTTTTGAATCAATTTCGAGATGGGTTGGCAATGCATTGAAAAACACTACCTATAGGCTACCGTTACAACAAAAATGTTTTTTGAAAAAGGTGCTTGAATGCTTTGGTATGCAGATTAAGACTGTTTCGCAAAGAAGATCTGGAACTTGAAAAAATGGAAATGTTATTTTTCAGAAAAGAGTGTTTCAAGGATGTAGATATGCATGAAAAAGTTAAAATATTTGAAGACTGAAAAAATCTTTGCATGGAGTTCACGAGCTCACTTTAAAGATGGTTCAAATTGCTCTCTTTTGAAGTTGAAATAGAAATCTGGTCCTTCTATTCTCACATCCCTATGTCGGCATTGTGTATACTAAATGAGGGAAAATTACCCCATAATAGGCTGTCATAAGGACGTTCTGATCAAAAAAATTTGACAATTATCTTAAAAGAAAGATGCCGGAAATATCACTCATACACACACTGTCGGCATGGTCATAAAAACTAAGGTGTTTGTCTAATATTAAACCAAGGAACACCTTCTGTCGACTCAATTTCCACGTTGTCTAAAAGGATAGTTGTGTGTGGATTGCCTTGGATTGAAAAATGGAACAATTAAGTTTTGTTCAAGTTGAGATTTAATAAATTGGTGTCAAACCACTGCTTTATGTTATTTGCTTCAATAAACGATTTTCATTCCAATTCCTCGGAAGTTGAGCCAGACAGGGCTAAAGACGTGTCATCCGCAAAAAGACAGATCTCCCCAGCCTCAACACTTGAAGGCAGTTCATTGATAAAAATCAGAAACAGTACAGGTCCGAGGACAGATCCCTGGGGAACCCCACAAGTGACGATGTCCCGAGAGGAGACAAAGGGCCGAGCACATCCAGAACTGCCTAAGTTATGCCTCTGACCTCAACGAATTGTTCCCTCGTTCGAAGGTATGAGGAGAACCACTCCCTGTGCCAGCCCCCTCACTCCAATAGATTCTAGTTTATTGATGAGCATATCATTATTTACAGTATCTTGCCTTGCCCAGGTCAAAGAAAAGCCCTAAAGCATTTTCTCCTGAGTGAAGATCCCATACTACTTTTGTTATAAGTGTAAAAACATTGCATGAGTGGTTGATTTCCCTTTTAAGAATTCAAATTGGTTCTTAAACATAATATTATTTCTTTCTAAATATTGTATTAATCTTGTTATTACTACTTTTTAAAATAGTTTTGAACTGGTTGAAACTAGAGTGATAGGTCAGGAGTTATCGCAAGTGGTTGGTATCCCTTTTTATACAGTGGTTTTTCAACGGTGGTCTTTAATAGGTCAGGGAAGGTTCCTGCTTTAAAATTGAAAGCTAATCAAATCAAATCTCTTTATTGTCTTTCAGCTCTACAAATGCATTGACATTGTCAAATGGTTTCTTAAAGCATTGAACATAGTCATAGAATAAATAACAGGAACCTTGATCATAAATTATTTAAAAACTTATATCTAAAACCCCCAAGGACAAGAACTTATCTACAGAGTAAAAACATTTTAATTTTAACCATGAATCAAGGATTGTTTTGAACTTTTTTATTGGAATCGTTACTGCAGAAGGAGGCAATTTATTAAAAAATTGCATTTGTAGCTATTGTGTGTAAGTGTAAGTCTTGTAAGTGGTAAGTTGAGATGATGGCTATTTCTTGTGTAATGTGCATGTATGTCAGATCGGATGCTATACTGGTCTATATTCTCTTTTACATATAATAACCTAAGCAATTTAAAATGCTTAAATATGGAAGGGTTAGGATATTTAAGGCCTTAAAATCTGCTTTACAATCTTCCCTGGGCATTGTTCCTCTAATGCGCCTAACTGCTTTCCTTTGCCATTTGAAAACGGTTTTTGCTCCTACAGAGTTTACCCCATAAGAGAACACCGTATTGTAGGTGAGAATGGAAAAATGCGTAATAACAATTTAGAATAATTTGCTAAGCTAAGATTTCAAGCTTTTATTTTATTATACATAAATGAACTTCACATCACAAAGGGATCAATGTAATTTGGCACACAAGTGAACAAACATTTTTGAGCAAAGTAATATCTGCACCATGTAACATACACCTCATAAAAATGCTAAACATGGTATGCATTTAAAAAATCACAGCCAAGAATATATCCTTTCTACAGTACTGAGAAATGGGTGGTACCACTGTTACAGGAAAGAAATTTCCTTTTTATGGTGTATTTTGAACCTTTCTCTACAGAAAGACAACAGAAAATAATTTTGAAAAATAAACCGGCTGGGGAAGTTAATATACAGTAGTGGAGGTTAGTGTATGGGTAATTTTTCTAGACCTATTGTTTTAATGTATTATTACAAAGTGTAATATGGTGCAACATTTAATTTGAAATTGTAGAACGTCAAAAACTACATTTTTAGTTAGATTGTGGTTTACTAATGTTGGCTAAGCGAGTAAAAACTATGTTTTATATGTTGTTTACTCCGAGGTTACATCACTCAAGGACATCGACGGACAGGTTATTGCCCTTCCTCTTCCTTGATTGGTTCCAAGTTGATAGCCTATATTCTCTTCAATCACCTTCAAATTTATCTTGCGTTTTATGTTTGCTTCCTGCAAAGCCAATCGTTGTGACAACTCACATTTCAGGGACTAGATTGACACTAAAAAGTACTAGTATTTTAAATTTAAATATTGACATTTCATTGACTAGTTTTGATATATTTAGTAAAAAAATAAATATATAAAATAGTTTCAGTATAAACATTGGTAATAAACAAATAATTCAAACTCGTTAATTTGTCAGAGATACTTACTAACTTGATACTTAAAGTCTTCATCCACATCTTCATAACTTATTCCACTAAAAAAATCTTAGATTCTCCGAGCAATAATTTGTTTTAATTTTTTCAGGGGTCAGCGCTGATCTTGACGAAATCAAAAAAGATCTAGAGCAAAAAACTCGAAGGGATGTTGATATCAAGCCGTAAGTATTTTTCTAGTGGGACTTTTTAGAATTATTTTTAGAGTTATGATATAATGTAGTTTTGTTTTATGCTTTTTATCACCACCATTGAATTATAGTTAACTTATTAACTGTGCAGATGTTAAATTTTAATTGCTTCTTTGATTCACACAGAGAGCCAGTTGAATCATGGACTGGTAAATGGTTCCCTGAAAAGCCTACAGAAGCACCCAAAACTGGGGGTTCCGGCGGCGGAATGGACGGCAATAACATGTGGAAAATGATTAACAGTACTTGTGACGATGGGAAGGTAAGTTGAATTGCATACAAGACATTTATTTGCTAGTTCAGATCTTTCTTAATTTATTAAATTTAAATCTTTTCCAAGAGCTGAAGTGTTATATATTCATACAATCCCAAATAACAGAAAATAAATAAATAATGATTCTTCTTTGGAAGTTATATATTTTTATTTGGATTGCTATGGTATTTTTTATTTCTAGGGAAGTCGAAATGCACACACCATCTCCAAATCTCAATGCTACATAGCTTCATAAAATCGTAATGGAAATGAACTGATGTGATTTTTAATCCTTCTAAGCTGTGGAACCAGTTTTTCTGTTCCGGTATTCTATTGACCTTGCCCTTAAATATCACAGAGTTGATTAACCTGATAGGTCGAGTGAGGAAATTTATTAAAATCTATATACATCAATGTAAATAAATGAAAAAGTAATATCATTAGACTTTAAGTAAATCATATTTAGAATATTAATGTTAAAACACTTGTTCATTATAAAAATTAAAAAAAAAACACTTTGGCCTATACTGTAATATGTTATTGAAATAAGAAAATTCACGTTTGGTTAAAAAAAAATTGCAATTGATTTTAGTTCTGAGTTTCAAAAAGAGCCTATTAAAAATATAAAAATTCACAAGTGGGTGACTTTTTCTCTAGCTTAAGATTGTGTCTAGGGTAAAAAAATAACAAATCCATCCATTATGGTCTGGTCATGTGATCCAAATTCGTGTAGATCTACCAATTTGGATTACCCTACATAGGACAAACTATTTTATATTTGTAAAAAAATAATAGTACACAATACATTCGGACCATTATCTAAAAAAATGAATACTAAAAAAGCAGTAAAATGCAAAGTTTAAAATCACAATGTGTGCATTTATAATAGAAAACAAACATTATTCTAGCTAACCTATAAATAATTTCTATCGTTTTCTAAACACAAAAACCATTTACTTCCTGAATATGGAAAATGGAAATTAAATATTATCCCTGATGTCCACATTAAAATTATAGTTTCTACAGACAAACTCCAATAATTGTTTTACACTTCATTAGCTTTTGAAAATGCAGTAAAGTTATATAATTGACTTCCTAGTGCGTACTCTGATCTAGAAACAAGTGACAAAGGAATTCTGCTGCAACTTGCCAAGGTCGCGATTGGCATGAGAAATAGTATGAGAAAAGGCTCTGAAGGTCAAACAACAAAGAGTAAACTCGCTAGGTTTATTACTTGTCCTGAAGGTCAAATCTTCAAGGATTCAAGTAGTAATAAACAGTGTAACAAGATTTATTCCTCATTAATCTTCATATTATACTTTCTGACCGATCATGTTGACTGAATAGTTGTCTGATATTTTATGAATATCTGAAGGATACTTACTACTTAGTAAATTGATTATGTGAAGAAATTGTTACAAAACAGGTAATTATTTCCAAAGGAAACATGATGAAAGATAATCTATTGATTAAAACACAAAATAATTCTAACATTTTTCCCATTTCAAAATCAAGGATGGTATGAATTTCGATTTATTCGTTACCTTTGAAATAAAGAACAAATAAGGAAGAACACCTACTGTATTTATATACTACCTTTATCCAGCTGTAGAGATGATTCAAGTTTTAAACAACTTAACATCTCACACAACACTACAACATCTCCCTTGTTCTTAACATTAGTGTTATGTCTGAAATAGTCAATAGTCAAAAGCCATAACAATAGAAGACTATTAGCGAATTTCCCTATAGGGAAGTAGCTATTACCGTAGGTGGCACGGTAAGACCTAGACCCGGGACCGATTTACTTTTTCATTTTGATGTCCCCAGAGGCCAAAAACACAATTCGTTCAAATTTTTATATATGTACTAGCTGACCCAGCGAACTTCGTATCGCCTAAGTTATAGGTTTCCCCTAAGAGATGGAAAGAAAGTACCGTTACGTTTAATTTTCAAGATGATCTCGTTCGCATCGCTCAATCACGTCCTGGTTGAAGTTCGTTCGCTACGCTCACTCACCTTTGGGTTGGAGCTCGTTCGCTACGCTCACTCACCTTTGGGTTGGAGCTCGTTCGCTACGCTCACTCACCTTTAGGTTGGAGCTCGTTCGCTGCGCTCACTTGCCTACAGGTTAGCTCGTTCGCTACGCTCACTCGCCTCCAGGTTGAAGTTCGTTCGCTACGCTCACTCGCCTCCAGGTTGAAGTTCGTTCGCTACGCTCACTCACCTTTTGGTTGCAAATTAGCTGTTGTCATAAATGTAAAAGAAATAATAGTGCTGCACCCTGTTGGTAATCCTTGTAACTTTAATGCTATTTAATTGAAACAGCTGTTAAGATTCATTAATTCCATTTCTCATAAGGTTAACATGGGAAACTCCAGAGCCACTGGGGCGGAGCCCTTTTAAGAATTTCGAAACGGGAAATAGTTTACTTCCTATTCGCATACCTACAGAATTTACACACCAAATTTCATAACGATCGGTGAAGTCGTTCCGGAGGAGTTTGCAGACAAACACTGTGACACGAGAATTTTATATATTAGATATATATATAGACTTATATATATATATACGTCCGTGAACGCGATAACTTGAGTAATTTTTGTCCGATTTTGATGAAATTTGGTTTAAAGAAAGGTGTAAAGCGGGATAAACTTGAATGAGTTCCGCGAACCATCACGATCGGACCATGGGAACGGGGCTTTACGGGGGTTTTTATGGGGTAAAAATTGGTTTTTCTCACTTTTGACCCTCAAAAAACAAAATTTCCCGATTTCTCTTTAGACCTTTTTCAAGAGCTTAAAAAAAATAATTAAGTATATAAAAGTATTTTTTCAATTATTAGTAATGAAGAAAATTAAAAAAAATTGTAAATTTAAAATTCCCATGTTATTCTTATGGAGAATATTGTCAAATGTTGTAGTTTGCTTGTTTATGGATATATTTTGATCAAACTTGGCAAATTTATTTATTTTTTACTAAGCTATCAATATTTTACTCAAAAACACACTTTATTAGTTTCCTTGTAGCAGCAAACCTAGGTACTCGTTAAACCTAATGTTATTAAAATATATTTAACTGAAAATCAATTCAGACAAATGGATATTCGCTTAGTCGGCAGGTTTGCTGCGGCAGGGGTATTTTGCTTATTATTTTTATCATGAATTATTTTATTTTCAGTCCAACCTAACAGTGGACTGGAACAACAATGATATAGACTACATTTGTGCCGAAGGAGACTATCTGGAACCTGATACTTCCTTGAAGGCTACACTGGAGCAGGAACATATTCCTCCTATGTATATTGTGAGTAGATGAGAATAAATCTTGAAATCAACTTTAGAGAACAGTTAAGTTAGGGCACTTTGTCCGATTCGGTCCGTTCCGCTCCGAATTTGTGAGGGGTGGCTACACTTATCCGATTCTTTTTGTTCCGGTCAAGTTTTACCTATGAAATAAGTGAAACATATATAAACACGTGAAACATCGAATTTTTGGAACTAGCTCAACTTCTTCAGTTGTAGAGTCTTTGTTCTTGTCACAGGAAGAAGGAAGAAATATGCTGTCCCTAGGATATGATGTTTTGGTTTCTATTGAATTATTCTCACAGTTTGTATTTTGCATGGATATAGAACATATTTTGATCATATAATTCTTGGTACCTGCCACTACATTTAATCAGTAAAGTTCACCCTTGTACTGTACTGGCTCACCCCTTGATTTGCTGGATACGTACGTACCATGCACAGGCTTTTGTGGCCCATGTTTACTGACAATTGCAAGGTAAAAGAGGCCAACCTCTTAAAAAAAATCAATTATGAAATATACAGATATTGACCAAACACCATTGACTGGACAGCATATTCTCTTCGGAGGTCCGTTGGACCCAGCCAATCCTGGCCAGCCACTAAGTTCAACTTGATAACCTAATATGTTAAGTGAATATCTTTATCTTAGTGAAAGTTGCGGCCTCGGCTCTTTTAGCTGAATGATTCAACAAAACTAAAAGTCATTGTTGCATATGACTTGTAAATTATTAGTGTTTGCCAATACCTGCCTACGAAATCATGGACAAAAGAACTTCTTGAAACCATTTAAGGATTTTGCTAAGTCACTTGATGTAATATTCAATTATGCAATGCATGGAGTAACTGTCAAAGGAGTGATTCTTTGCACTGTGTGTTAGATTATTCACAGTTTTTATATGTTCTTATTTACTAGTATTATTTTTGTATTGCTTATTTATTAGTGTTGTAATATATTTCATAATTTGGACCAAAAGAAAATCTTTATAGAAGATTAAAATTGAAGGTCAAGGCAGAGAAATTGGTGAAACAAAACACCACTTTACATGTGATGAACTATATTTTCAATTGACATCGCAAAAGCTACCGTATATTATAATTTGATCATTAAAGTTTCGTTTTCAAAATCACTTCTGTTTTGCTATTTTAAACATCGACCGCATTAAAAAAAAATATTCAAATAATTTTAGTCTCAATTCCTTTAAGGTTACTATATAAGTTAACATTTTAAGCTATCGGCTTCAAAAAAAGTTTCTGCTGACTTTAAATTTAGCTTAAGCTTACATTTCATGTGACTACTGTTTTCGAAACTTACAACATATTGTTAATCAGAAGGCTAATATTGATCCTACTCTCAACACAATTTGTTGTTTATTGACTTTTCACAAATTTGTTTGTCTACTACATCATGAAAGACAGACTGATAATTGAATAATCAGCTGATGACTTCTACCAGCTGATTTCTCGGTCCTAAAACTAAATTGAGCCATTTTAGCTCTAAATTCTTTTCTGTTTCAGGCCAGGCATGTTTGTATGAAGTCTGAAATTCCGTATGAACATCCTCTGCTCACATTGTAAGTACTGTAGTTTTTTTTTTATAATGCCAATAATTGTTTTTTAAAAACACCTAATTCAAATTTAATTTTTACCCGGAATTATAGAAAAAAAATCACGTTTTAGGCTGATTATATCTTAAATGTAAATCTTGTCCCAATTTTTAACTAAACAATTTTCTACAATTCAAAATATTGTCCCAAGTATTTTTTTGTATCATTATGTGTTTAGTCAGGTTAAGTAAGGTTAACATAGCTCAATATAAAAATATACGGGTGCTTATCAATCGTAAATCCATATGATTAATGTGATATGGAACTCTCCTAACATTATTTAACCCTCCGAGTGTCCATAGTTTAGGCCTTAATGTCCACCTATTTTTGGCCCCTTTGCAAGGTTTTATTAAAACGGATCTGAGAAGCTTAAAACAATGTCAATTCTAATGTTCTATATACCATTTTGTTTGGAAAATCATGGGCTTCAATATTATATATAAAACATAAGGAACATTTTTTCAAAAAAAAAAATTTTTAGGTAAAAAAAAATATAATTTCGAAAATTTTCAAAAAAAAAATAAGTTCGCGCTCAATGAAATTGTATAAATTATAGGCCTATAAATATTTGAAAATAGCCACTTTGTTCTAAATTTAATGAGGATTACAAATATATAATCATATAGCGAGGTAAGTTATCAAATAAATAAGTTATGAGCGAAAAACGGATTTCAGTACATAGCGTTTAGCTAAGAATGCATAGCCTAACCATAGCTAGGAATCTGGCTGATAATTTACATCAATATCACTACCTACTTCTTCAGGATCATCAACCAGCACTTCAAAACCACTTAAATCTTCTTATAATGCACCACGTATATCACTACTTTTGATTTTTAACACTAAAACAATGATAAACGTAATAAAACACATCAGTCATCGGTCCGGGGGAACCTAGCTGTTTACAAATACACGCACGTCAGCTGTCTGCTACAATATTTTCGGAACTAAAATGAATAGCGCTTAGAGACAGACCTCTGGAGAAAGCTTAGAATATTACGGAAAGAACGATACCTAACTCGATCCAGTTCAATCCGATTCAGTCAGTCATAGAGCCTTCGCCGTAAACGATGTTTGTGCGTCATAAAAGTGACGCGTGACCCTACACAAAGTGTGTTGTGCGTCATTTTTATGACGCGTGACACTCGGAGGGTTAACCAAAATTAGTAAAGGTTAGACATTGGAAAATACCAATCTTTCCTATTAACATTTTATTTTTACCGCAACCCAAATTCAATTTGTTTGTTTTACCCTTAGGAAATATATCTAAACCTTGGATAGAATTGTAACCCGCTTCCGGGTGTGTTTCGTTAATTTATCGGGTCGGGGCGTTACGCGTCCCTGATAGCCTAGCCGAGCTGGGTTATTCCGGGGGTCAATTTTGGTCGAGTTTCCCGCTTTTGTCTCCTAAAGTCTTTTTCCTGGCTCAGGCGGGAATATTTTGCCTCTTGGCTTTATTCCTGCCTCATCATTGCCAGGAAACGAGTGAATAAAAGAGGGAGGGCGAGATTTTGTTTCGAAGTTATAGCTTCGTGCGCGACTCTGTTCACAACCTCCTCGGTGGAGTGTTAATTATTTATTTTATTTAATACCCTACATCCATGCGCCACGGACCGAGCAGAATTAGTTTAGATGCGTCTTTATTATTTAAAATAATACAATGCGTTTCGGGCGAGTGGACTAGTTCAAAGCCCCGTGAGAGAGTAGGAATATGGAAAGGTGCAAACGAACATACAGAGTAGGGCGGAGAAGGGTCGTTATAGAAAGAGTAACATACGAGACACACACACACACACACACACACACAGACAGGTTGAGCACACAAAGACTTATTTCAAATAGATTAAGCCTAACTAAAAACTAACTTATTCCCAGATTTTCCGGGATAGCTTAGGTCTAACTTATAAATAACTTATTTCCGGTGTGCCCGAAGTAATTAAAGCTAACTTATAAATAACTTATTTCCGGGTTTTCCGGAATAGGTTAAATCTAACTTATAACTAACTTATTTCCGGTGTGCCCGAAGTAATAGAGAAAGAAGAAAGAAAAGTTTGTGGCAAGCAACAAACATTCATAGTCATAAAGTGACAGAGTAGGAGACTTATAGCTAAGAGCTTAAGTGCTAATTAAATCTAACTTATTTCCGGTGTGCCCGAAGTAATAGAGAAAGAAGAAAAGCTACTTAGCAAACTACAGCTAACCAAAGCAGTCAGCTGCACACACACAACACATACGATACACAGATCACTCAATTAGCAACAGTCCAGAAATCAAGGAAATGGTAAAGAATGGAAAGAGAAGTTGGGGCTTAACTGTCTAACGTCACGGCGAATTCAAATTCCCAAAACCAATCAGTTTTCCCAAAGCCTTAGTTAAGCATTGATAGTCAAAGGTTAAGCAAGGTTAAGCGTTATGCTAAGATTTGAAGCAATTTCTAAGGTTAGTGTGTTAGTAGCGGAGTCGTATCATGAGTTAGAATATTTAAATGCATATTGTTCAACACATCAATAATTAGTGGAAGGCTAAATGAATAATTAATAATGAAGTGGTAAATATAGTAAAGCAACTACATAGAACATTAACACTTAATAGCGGCTAAACAACGACATAGAACATAACTACTGTGCACTGGTTCTAGTATAAAAGATAATGAATAGCTACAATGGTTAGTATAGTTCTGAAATCTGTACAAGCAAATTAAAGCGTGTTAGTTAGTAAAGAAGCCAACAAAGTATTAAAATCACTCTAATAAATCCACTATTAATTAACTCTTATTCCCATAGATAAAATATCTCACAGCTGAAGTGCTGCTACAGTAATTACGAACAACATTGACTACAAACTAAACACCACACATTATATTTAGGTAACACCGTGTTCTCACGGACCTACGCGATAAACAAAACAAACAAAAACACACGAATATGAAAAAGCCACCTTGCGTGACCGAAACCGATCGAACTTGAATAGATTTAAACAATACAAATAAAACAACACAATTAAAACAGAAAGGAATTATAACCGGGCGGATCTCGTTCTGACCGTTACTTCTTTGAACTCACGGTCTATAAATTATGTATCGAACGAAATTAAGATATTCCACAAATCAAAGCTGATCGTTATATATTTACAGAGTTATTTTAACAAAACAGATAACACTCTATGTTATAGTAAAACGATAAAGATATTCACCGGTTTAAATAAATCGATCTCTGTTAATAATTCAATTAAATTTAAGACGAAACTTCCCGCGGACGTTTGACTTAAATAGTGTAATTGATTAACAGTGAATAAACGGTTGGCGTAATAAAAGCGATTGCGAGTGAGGTCGAGTTATCCTAGGCGCCCTAGGATATTAACAACGGCGAATGTCGTCCACTTACTTGGCGTGAGCGAGAGTGTAGGGTCGGGCGTCCTTCTTCGGCCTAATTGCTCAGGCCACTGCTCCTGCTTCCTGCTGACTGTCGACTCTCGCCGACCCCGACTCACTGTCTCTCCGAGCGCCGCGCACATCCAGCGCTGTGGCTGGGGTTCCTGCGCAGGCGCGGGCGACTGATGCGCGGCCCGGTGGTACGGCGGTGAACCACAAGATCAGCTGTTGCTGAACTTGTGTCATCTGCTAATTTGTTTTGTTTACATTTTGGAACTTCGGCGAATTGGCGAGGCGATTCTGCTAGTAAGGGTTTAGTTTTATTATAAATATTGACAAATTTTATGAACCCTTACAGAATATTCACCATAATACACTGTTTTTAGACGTTTCACTTACTGTAAAGTGGCTAGTTTCTATAGTGGCATCATCAGTTCTAGCTACTGAAGTTAGCCACTGAAGATGCCACTTCACAGTAAGAGTGAAACGTCTGGCATCAGTCTATTGGTGACGACGCGGTTGACACCAAAAAACACCACCATGAACTCTGATGACACCGGCCGGCAAAGCCTACGTAAGAAAACATTGTCTTCGATAGATACTGAGCTTTTTTCACACGAGCACTCTTGCACTGCAATGCGAGCCAAGCCACGCCTTCACTATAAAAATGTGATTAGGTTGTGAAAGGAATATTTTTAAAACAAAGTTTGGGTGATTTTATCCACTAATCCTCTTTTTAACATCTCGGCAATTAATTGACCTTGGATTAATTTGTTACCAGCGTCTAGTGGTTTGACTTTCAGTGTTGTTGGGAGCCTTTGACTCATTTCCCAAAAATTCCATCCTCATTGGCACGTTCTGTACCTACAATTTCAAAACTAACATGGATTTTAAAATATGAAGAAAAGTAAGATTTTTGTGATTTTTACTGTTGGTATCCCTGTTTCAGCGGACCTCATCGACCAGCATGGGCCAAGTACGGTGAATATAAGTACCTACCTCCCCAGCGATACCTTCACAACATGGAGGTAAGAATCGGGGAAATTTATGTGGGAAAATGTCTAAAAATCATAGGAAGAGTAGAATATTGGTGCCAAAAAAGCTAAAACAATTTTATTTTACAAGAACAAGATATTTTCCATACTTTATCATTCATCTATTGACTATTATCATTCACATATTATTTATGAGCTCATCCTAAGTTGAAGTAAGTTTAAGAGTGTGACTGAATATCAATTAGGGAAATGTTTGGAATCAGAAAAGTGCATTAGGGAAATTCTTGGGAAAGCAAGGGCAATGTCTAGAACAACCAGGGAAATATGCAGAAAAATCATGAACCATAAGGAAAATGTAAGGGAGGAGTAAGGAAAATGTGTAGAAAATCTGGGAACATAGGAAAACTGTTTTTAAAGTCAGGGATTATTTTGACGCATATTTTAAGAAGCTTAAAACATTACCTATAAAAGAAAATACAAAAATCAAGTTACGGCTATGAATGTAAGTTTAGTTTTTTGTGAACGTATTGTAAATTTGACTACCAGAAGTAAATCCTAAGTTTGAAGTAAGCTTTTTAAAGTATTGACGTGCAAGACGTAAGTCTTGAAAAACTTGTTTGAACTTGAAACAATGGCTGTTAAATTCGCTTGACTTATGAACAACTGTTAAAATACCAATAGATCAGTTGATTGTCTATTTATTCTATTGATATTTTTTTAGTTTGATTTGCACAATTGACTAATCGTAAATTTCCGAATTCTTATATCTTTTTAAAAGTTATTTAGAAAAAAAGTGATTACATAGGCATTTTCTTAAAAAGCTTATTTGCTAAATATGTAACTTAAGCAATTATGTAGTGGCAATTTTTTTTCATCCAAACCCTTTTTACGTGAATTTTTTACTGACTTAACATGTTCACTGCTAATGACACACTTGTGCGTCATAAGTATATTAGCAGATATATAATACATGATGTATATAATTACATAATATATTTTAATCCACAATTTATAGTATAAAATTTATTTAATTAAAGATATATTGTCACTCAATTAACATGATCATGTTAATGTTTATGGTTTTTAGCCATTTATAAAAGTATTACATATCATTAGCAGTGAATGTGTTAACAAATTAATATATAAATAGTTAAGTCTTATATTTAACTCAAAGCCTTTTACAATAGCAGCCTAAAGTAAAATCCATACTGATTTGTTTTACCAAATTTGTTTAAGCTCGTCTGTACATTAAATCTGATAGATCTTTTACATATTTTTATGTTGGGAAAAATGTTAACCATATATTATTCTCAATCATTATTATTAGGCCTAGTAAAGAAGGTATTTGCTGTTTGTAGTAAAAAAGAAATATTGAAAGGTTTTCAAACTTTTGAATCTGTATCCGTTTCGTCAATGAATTCATGTTCTTTAAAGATCAAAGTTTAATATAGCTGTTTGTAGTTTTAATAGCCTCTATTCTTTTTTAACACCACAGAGGCAATATTTTTCTCCATAGCCGATTGTATTTTTAACAGCCTATTCCTATTATGACATCACAGATGCATTATTTTTCTGTATAGCTTATCGTGGTTTAAACAGCCTATTCTATTATGACATCACAGATGATTATTTTTCTGTATAGCTCATCGTAGTTTTAACAGCCTATTCTATTTTTACAGCATGGAGGCATTATTTTCCTTTATCATCCCTGTGCAGCTCCGTCTCTCGTCAACAAGTTGAAGAAAGTAGTCAAGAGTTGTCTGTACCGTCACGTCATCAGTGCTTCTCGTCTCGTGCCTAAAGAAAGGGTAACGACCAACTACAGTATACCAATTATAACTCATGCAGACCTAATTACTGTTTGAGTTTATGTTAACTTCACTAATAATTAGGCTTGGTTTTAACTCGCATTAGAATTAGTTACTGAGGCTGTTTTAAGTGTTACTTAACATAAACTATAACTTTGTATGCACCAATCAACTATTATTGTGGGGAAACGAGGAAAGAAAATACAACTTACACTCTACAAGAGGATCATTCAACTTATTTAAATTATCTTTATTTATATTATGTACAAATTGTACAATAAACAGTGTCAGGTTATAAATACTAGCCTATACAAATACCGTACTTAACTATACAGCTGTATACATTCATAAAAAAATCATTTTGTAGAGTGGTCCATAAACTTCTCTATAGAGGATTTTCTACCAACACTTTGTTGAGAATTCTCTAAACTTTTAATGCTATGAATATCTTTTAGTCCAATCATGTTTTTATTATCTTATTTGATTTCTTTGGGAATTCATTTTAACAACATTACACCAGAGTATGAGAGGACTTAGTTTTGAGTACTTCCAGATCTTGTTTCGGCAAAACGTTTTGTATGTTTTTTTTTAGTAAGATCCATACCATTAGTTTGAACAATCTTTCAAGAACTTACCAAATCCAGAAACTTAAACATTTCACTAAATGCTCATTTTCCGATAGCCGTTTGTCCTGTTGTCGTGGGGCTGGCGTATGCTGATGCCCACCGCGGACACCAAGCTGGCTGTGGAGTTTATCAGGGAACACGCTCTGCACGGCTACGAGAAGACGCACAAGGACGGTTACTACGACCAACTGCTGGTCGACCCCGCCAAGGTGGTCAGCACACCAGAGGACCAGGAGCTGTGTCCCAAGTACAAGGACTTCTAGAGGTTTGTGTGGATTTATAGGGTGTCCGAGAAAAATATATTTTTAATTAATACACCAGACGTATCCAAAATGCTTAAAACTTTAAACTCCACAGCTGCAACTGAAAAAGAACACCTCCAAGTTCCACGCGATTGCGACCAATCAGGACAAATTGGCAGGACATATAAATAAGTGTGGTTTTGTTATAGTAGTTTACGCAACAATTGCATAATTTTCTTTTACAATGTTACTTAAAAGATAGTGGTAATTCATACATTTCATTTATAACCCTTCATTTAAACTGATGCGGATAAATCGCCATGCAAAAATCTATCTAACAATTTTTTTCCTGTTTTGCTCTACCAATTTGTTTTGAGTACTCAGACTAAAATGAGACCAGGGTATTTTATAAGTATTTATTATAACTGCAGTGTTTCAAGTTTGTAGCGTGTTTGATACGTCTGGTATGTAAATGAAATAATATCAGCTCTTTGAGGAACACCCTGTACTTAATGTGCTTCCAAACAATGTGTACCACTAGTGCCAAGCAGATAGAAAGTATCATTGAATATTCAATTTGATTTGTATGTACATTTTCTTGAGGCGGGACCGCACATACAACATTCACCGAGCAACTACTCGCCAAGTGTGGATGGCTCTTTGTCTACTCGTAATTTGGCAAACGTAAGGGATCTTTGTTTCGTGCTTCATGTCGAATTTTTCCTCACATCAAAGCACTAACAGACTGCTCAGATAGTACGGTGACAAATGTGCGGACACCTTTGCTCGGAAATTGTCAAATACTAACACAAGAAGTCTAATTACACCACTAGCCAAGTATTTGGTGCTCATCTAAGGCCGGCCGTACACTGATGCGACAAAACGTTTTGTCGAAAGGGAGTGGCCTACCATGCAGTTAAATGGAGGCATCGCACACTGATGCGACAGAGGCTTCAGACACGTTGTTTTGTCTGAAGACGTTTTTGGGTGTTTTTGTGATCGCCTCCGATATTTCGTCTGAAGCCAAAACGCGATCAGACAAATAGTTCTGCGCATGCGCGGAGGGCGGATACAGTACAACTTATCTATATATTGTAATAATTTTTCTTGCAGTTAGTTCATTTTTGATTCATGCAGAAAATAATAAAACAATATTTTAATTTTAAATATTTCAACTTATCTATATATTGTGATCATTTGTCTTACAGTTAGTAGTTGTTTATTTTAAATTTATGCAGAAAATAAACAAATGTTATTTCAATTTCAAATATTTCAGCTTATTCCATATTTTGTAATAATTTTCTTTACAGTTAGTACTTGTTCATTTAAGATTTATGCAGATAATACAGAAAATGTATGCAACCTTCCTTCGTTTAGTTCTACAAGTTGTATAAAGTTCCACAACATAATTGCTACGTCCACTTTCTCATCCATTTTATTAACACCACACAATCTCTGGCTTTTCACAACACTGGTCTACGGCTGACTGAATTTAGTTTTCCCTCCTGTTTTTGTCTTTTGTCTGAGACCATCGCACACCTATGTGACATTTTTGTTTTCAGACAAGACGTCTTCCGACAAAACGTTTTGTCTGATCAGTGTGCGGCCGGCCTAGTGGCGCATCTGCCTTAAGATGAATGTGTTTGTTTACCTTCTCATTCTTAACATTGAGAATTGATTCTTCTCACTCTGTCTCCATACTTAAAACATTTTATTGTTTCAGGGTTTTCTCAGCATTTTGATATCACTTCACGTGCCAGCCATTAGATTTTTAAGATTTATGTGTGTAAGGGAAAAGCATGAAAAAAAAGTGTGCTCTTGCATTGTTTAGTTAATCAAATGTTAGAACAATGATTTTAAATTAAAATCAAATTTAAAATTAAATAAAAAAAAATAAATAAATCAAAAAAAATAAATAAAAATAAAATTTAATCAAAATTAAATTTCTTACAAACAACTTTTAAAACACGATTTAGAATAACATTTTTTTACCAACTGAATTATATTAGTTGAACATTTCTGTTAAGATCTCGTTTAGCTTTCAGTTTTGGAAATTTGTCTTAATCCATACTTCATTACTAGTTACGGATATGAAATATTAAAATCTTTGATTCTCTTAAGATATGTTATTGATATAAATTAAATATTTTGGAGTTTAATTTTTGCACAAGCAGTATTTATATGTTTGCGTTTCCTGATCTCGATTATGCATTCCATTGCTTGTTACAACATGCTTACAAAATCTCAATAAATTATATTACAAGTGATCAAAAGTATTTTAGATTTTGTTACGAATTTCTAAAAATGTATTTTCATATTATATTTTAAATATTTATTTTATTAGCTTTTTAAGAAATTGTCCTAAAATAGGAAGTATTGTATTGTTGTCAATTATTTGTTGGTTAAAAACCAGTGATCTTAATAATAATTAGTTTTATACTGAATTTTTACATAATACTCTTAACAAAGTATAAAATTTGTATAGATTTTATAGAATAAGGTCGTAAGAAGGGTATTAAGCCTTGTAGACCTTTTAGGTGTTTTCTATAAGGTATTTTTAAAAGCTGTGCTTTAAAGTATGTTTTGTTTTTTATTTGTGTCTATTAAATGAATGTTTACTAAGCTATTATCATTCCTTTGATCCTTGAACTTGTTAGCGAATTTCTGTAGATAACCTTTAAAATCCGAATAGGTCAACAAATGAAATTGGGCCCTAGAGTATCAGTAAGTTAAAAATTATACATTTGCACTAGCATCAATAGGGAGTGGGGTCGTTAATTTTTTAATTTGATACGTTGTAGAGGCCATGAAACAGTGGACGGTACCATGCTCTATGTTTGCATTGCTAGTCTCATCACAACAGCGCAGCGACTTCGTCGAGTCCACTTTTAATTTGGACCCCATGATATAATTTCCACCTTAAATTGTCAAGTTGGTAATTAATCCCTGTCGCAATGTATCTTAAGGACGCAATTTACCAGGATACGGCAACAATAGGCGAGCACGCGGTCTGCTCAGGAAAGTTCGCCTAGCCTGTGCTCCATTTTGTCGGTTTTTGGGACGAGTCAAAGGTGAGTGTCGGAAGTTAAAATATGTCTTACCACTAGCACGCATGTTCCGCTAACATGCGCATGTACTGGGTGAACTCATGGTTCACGTTTGTCACAACTCGAGTAAAAAATTTGGCGAAAGTGTACAGTTAGCATAAGGAATGTATTAACACATGTTTGAAACAAAGTGGACTCTACCTGGCTGATTTTATTTTTCATAACTAATGGACATTTTTGGAAAGTGTAGTTAACTCATTTTTAGAAGAATTTCTTGAATATCAAGAGACATCTGTAAACGGTACGCAAAAGAGTTCATTTCCGATTGCTAAATCAGCTGATTTATTGGTATTTTTGCAGAAACCACAACCGTGGAGCCGTCATGTTAACCAGTAAGCAAATAACATAACTTAAAAAGCAAACGCAATCATTACCTAAATTACATTGTATATGCAACAAAAAGTTCACCTGTGTAAGTTAATTATGGTGGCAGGAAAAATCTAGTGTATATTACGAGCACTAAAAGTCATTGCTGCTCATGTATGGCCACACTCAGCTTAAGGTTCGTGCGGCCATCTACAGTTCTCAAGAAACAATAAGGCAATTTGCAGTCTTGTCTTAATACACAAATAGCTATTATTAATAAAATATCAATATAGGGCTCTGAATTTAAATCCAGCCCTCTGAAACCAGTTGGCAATAAATTAGATCTAAAAGATTTATAAGGGCATTGCTCTTTGAGCATAAAATATCAAATAAACTGCTAAAAATCATTTAACTTATCACATTAGTTTCGTATACAAGCAACATTGTAGAATTAAAATAAAAGGAATGAAAGACGCAAAAATACAAATTAAACAGGTATTTATTTGGTTTGTACAACTTACTTTTTAAGTCTTGAAATGTAACATGAAGAACAGAGAATAACTTATAAGTAACCAAATGACAAAAGCTTAAATTTAACAATATAAAATGGGCACGCCAATGGGGTGTCACCACGCTGAGGCGCTTGTTATCATACGCTCTTGCGTAGCTTGGAATCGAAGGTGGGCATCGATAAAAAGCGAATCACAAGTCTTCATCATCCTCTGGTAAAGGAGTATCTTGTGCTTCCTGGAACAAAATAACAAAAAAACTGTCAATGGTTTGCTTACTGGAATAAACCCTACACTAGAGGTGGGCGTTATTTAACATAAAACAATATATTACCATTGATACTACTATTCCAGAAGTACCACACCTATTAAATTGGTACTGAGAATACCCTGAATACCCTCGGAACTGTATGAATGAGCAAACTATCGATGGCTAAAATTGTGTCTTCCATAGGTAACATAAAAAAAACATCACAAAATAATTGCACCTCGGCAATAGGTTTTTAGCTAGGCAATAGCTACATACTATTTTTATCGTCGTCTTAACTGTGTGATCGAACAGGTGAAATAACGATAATTGTGTACTGGTAACAAAAAAGAGATATACCGTGCTCGAGATGTAGAACTGCACTCTATTAATTAACAAAATCACCACACATACTTTCTCTCCCTATACCATAGTATATGGAGAAAGTATTGTTTTCAAATAATACCCTCAAACAATAAGGAGATAATTTACCTTGAGATCCTTTTCGATCTGTGTCTGCCATTGGGGATCCATGGTAACTTCTGGGGGCACGAGGGCGGGCATTGCAACAAACTCCAGGTTGGGGTCTCCAATCAGCTTCCTGGCCAACCACAGGAACGGCTTCTCAAAGTTGTAATTACTCTTGGCACTGATGTCGTAGTACTGAAAATAACCAACACAATTATGTACAGAGTAACATTCAATGAGACATTATTAATTTTATGTAGCAAAAGAATGTGGTCGAGTGATGCTGGTTTCAAAATCCAATAAAAAGCAAGAACATAACCATTATTCGAGTATAGAAATCTTGAGATTTTCTTTAAGGTTCATTCCAAAACTACATTTCTTCAACAAGTTTTTTTTTTTTCATTGAAAAAGGAGCTCGCCCATTCTCAAATCAGGATATTTGTTGGGTTAACAAAAAAGAACCAAAAAACTTGGAAAAATAATTACTGCTAATGATATTATATCACACGATTCTCTCTTAAATCGAACCCTCGCCTGGGTCATATAAGGTAAGCAATAAGCATGTAAAATACGACAGACTAAAATAATGGATACAAAACTGACCCACCCAAGTTCAGAAAGTAAGAAACAGGTTTGATTAAAGCAAAGAGCATTTGGTACATTTCTACAGCCCCACCAAACAGAGGCACAAATCGAAGAGTTTGGCAAGCCTCAAAATTCCTTTGTCGTAGGATTCCGCTGTCTGCAAGCTCAGCTACCCAGTGACACGCAACTGGAGCTTCACTCTAGCCGTCATCAAAGCGCTTTACTATGACCAAGCCTTTTTATTTTGGACACAAGTAAAATTCACTCAGAGCAAGGTCTGGACTGTCACCCAGGTGGTTAGGAGGAATTCATTCACCCATTTGAATGAATAAAGATCTTGCAAGAGAATTGCTGTATGAGGTCGGGCATTGTTAGGGAAAAACAAAAGGTAGATATTAAATTTAGTATGCCTACGGCTATTTTGAAAACTCCGAAAGCACCATTTTCAGGCAGAACTTTATTAATTACGTTATTTCCGTACAATTAACACGATTGACAATCACTTTCTAGAGGGCTTTAAGTTAATGGTCAACAAAAACTAAGTAACTATAGACCACGCATCTCAAAGTGATATTGTAGCACAGTGACACTTTTGCTTTGACGGCTGGATTGTCATTGAGAAAGCAAACACATACTGTACCGTACCAGAAAGTGCACGAGCAGCAGCCTATCGACGTCAGATAGGTTTCTTACTTTCTGAATAGTACCTACAGTATTTTACCTCATTGTAACAATGGTTAATCCAGGGCCGGTATTTAAATAAGAGTGTAGGCCTACTGTAAAACTGTATTAAATACATACCTGGAGGTTCTTTTTACGGTGGAACACTATGCTTTTCGCCTTGACTTTTCTGTCCTTGATGTCAACCTTGTTTCCGCAGAGAACGATTGGGATGTTTTCGCAAACCCTGACTAAGTCTCTATGCCAGTTAGGAACATTCTTGTATGTGACTCTAGACGTAACATCGAACATAACGATGGCGCATTGACCCTGTGAAAAATGATTGCTCAAGATTAGACCCCCATACTAGTAAGCCAATAAAAGCTGAAATTTTGCACAACAATTTAATGCAATCATTACACATTAAAAATTTATTTAACAATGAAGTAACTTTTATTACTGTTTAACTAAAACATCTTGGCTACACTTGTTACGACATAGGCTTTTAAGTTACAAAGGTAACATTGGTACAAAACTAAAAATGGGACATATAAATCTTAAGCCATTAATAGCCTATCTACCGGCAGGTCTAACTTAAAAAAACAAAATACCTAATAGTTCAGAAGATCCAATTGTTTAAAACTCTGGACTGTGTAATTTATAGCCTATTCACGACGTACCCGTTTTAAGTTAACCAATTAGGTACTTTACAAAAACTTCATTAAAAAAGAATCAAAACTTGTAGCCTAGGCCTAAGTTACTGTAGGTAAGTTAGGTAGCTTATTCTTTGATTTTATTGGCTTTATTGGAGAAGGTAATACACATCATGTACAGCTTGTGTACATGATTGTCTTAACTTTTTTTCTTTAAACCTAGCCTAAGTAACTTTCAAAGGCTAACACTTTCTTAACATATTTTTACCTGGATATAGTAACCGTCTCGAAGGCCGCCGAACTTCTCTTGGCCTGCAGTGTCCCAAACGTTGAATCTGATTGGACCTCTGTTGGTGTGGAACACTAGTGGATGCACTTCTACTCCAAGCGTGGCGACGTACTTCTTCTCAAATTCACCAGTAAGATGTCGTTTGACAAACGTGGTCTTTCCTGTACCACCGTCTCCGACCAAGACACACTTAAATGTCGGCATCTCCTGTTCAGCCATCTTGAATTGAAAATTTAGAATCTACCTGTAACAAAAAATACTTAACTTGAGTCTTCAAGTAACTTACATTTAATCTTGAATTAGCCCAAGTACGATAGATCAATTATGTAAACACAGTTTAATATAACTTACCACACATTGTTAATCAATTGGATTGGGGGAAAAAATCCTAATTAAACAAAACAGAAAGGTGGTAGGCTAACTCAACTATCTTTACCACAGTATCAGTTGAGGCTTAACAACTACAGTAACTTAACGATTTTGTGGCAATTTATGCAAGTAATTTACCCTATGTTAATAAGTACCGTAGATAGGCCTAGGTACTATGATGTTTATACCCAACATCTAAAGCTCTTGTCAGATTAGGGTAACGAAATGGCCAAGAAACGAGCTTGCCTAGTGAGCTCAGTCTGTCCTTAAGTTATATTCTTAACTTCGTAGCCTACGCATATATTTGTGTCAGTGTCCTAACTTAATGTTATTATCTTCATAACAGTCTATTTGAAGCCCCTGAGTTCTCTGCAATGGACTAATTTACAGGGATGTAAAGTAGCTGTTGCATATGTGCGTCAATTGGTCTGTGACTGTGGGTACCTAAGTTAAGTTATGATTTGTGATCTCATAATTTATGACAGTTGGAAAAAATGTTTTTTTGCTGCATCACTGTCTACTTATAGGCACATAAAGTTTGTGCACGTGCTTTTGTTTAGCGAGTCTCTGTAAGTTAAGGTATTATTTCCTAGATAGTAACTTTTCGTTGAGTTTGTGTGATGAAAACAAAGAAACACAATAAAAGGAGAGCTTAAGTTAACTTAAATCTTCAGTGCCATTACTTACATAAGTACTGACAGTGAAATTGATCGCAAGATAACTTAGATTTTGATAGTGACAAAGAATCTGAACACAGTTCTTTGTTTTGAATGAAAATTACAACAATTTTTTAACTTCAGTAACAAGAATTATAGATTACAAATAACTTAAGTTAAACTTAATGCAGCACATTTAACTCAGTGCAACAAGTTTACCCTTTGGTCTGCATAAACTTCAGTTAAAACTTAACTTAAAAAGTTACTGTCAGCCAAGTGACACCTGGTCTATGTGTGAAATTAAAATTAACTCCTCGGTCCATGGGAATGACGCATTGTCACATAACTTATAAGTTAACCCTCCGAGTGTCACGCGTCATAAAAATGACGCACAACACACTTTGTGTAGGGTCACGCGTCACTTTTATGACGCACAAACATCGTTTACGGCGAAGGCTCTATGACTGACTGAATCGGATTGAACTGGATCGAGTTAGGTATCGTTCTTTCCGTAATATTCTAAGCTTTCTCCAGAGGTCTGTCTCTAAGCGCTATTCATTTTAGTTCCGAAAATATTGTAGCAGACAGCTGACGTGCGTGTATTTGTAAACAGCTAGGTTCCCCCGGACCGATGACTGATGTGTTTTATTACGTTTATCATTGTTTTAGTGTTAAAAATCAAAAGTAGTGATATACGTGGTGCATTATAAGAAGATTTAAGTGGTTTTGAAGTGCTGGTTGATGATCCTGAAGAAGTAGGTAGTGATATTGATGTAAATTATCAGCCAGATTCCTAGCTATGGTTAGGCTATGCATTCTTAGCTAAACGCTATGTACTGAAATCCGTTTTTCGCTCATAACTTATTTATTTGATAACTTACCTCGCTATATGATTATATATTTGTAATCCTCATTAAATTTAGAACAAAGTGGCTATTTTCAAATATTTATAGGCCTATAATTTATACAATTTCATTGAGCGCGAACTTATTTTTTTTTGAAAATTTTCGAAATTATATTTTTTTTTTACCTAAAAATTTTTTTTTTGAAAAAATGTTCCTTATGTTTTATATATAATATTGAAGCCCATGATTTTCCAAACAAAATGGTATATAGAACATTAGAATTGACATTGTTTTAAGCTTCTCAGATCCGTTTTAATAAAACCTTGCAAAGGGGCCAAAAATAGGTGGACATTAAGGCCTAAACTATGGACACTCGGAGGGTTAATGCAGGACTCAGTAAGCGAACGTGTTAACAAACTTCCACCGGATTAACTTAGCAAAACTAAACTAAAGGTTCAAAGGGTTGACTTATGTTTGGTTAATCCAATGAACAATGAAACGCTAAGTTAGGCCTAGGTTTTAACTTAGGCCTTCTAAGAAACGAACTTAGGCCTTGCTAGTCTTCAAGCTAATAAAAATCCTGCATGAAAATAATATGCCTGTGATATACTCCCAAAGATCTTAACAGAAGCTAAGCTTGTCAGAAAAATTAGTTCAAGGACTTTCCTGTTGCAACTGGGTTGCCATCAGTAAAACTACTATAGGCCTAAGTAAGACCTATTTTGGTAAAGGGTTGATGAAATTAAGCTTAGGGTTACAAAGGAGTATAAATATAGGAGCTTTAAGGAATCACAGTTCATGTTACTTCCTATTTATATACATAAATTACCGGTATTTTTTAATTGTAGCCGAAAATCATATGAAATGGCGCCACCAATTCTGTTCCAAAGGAAAATGGCCATTACTGACCGAAGTATTTATTGCATAACAAATGCAATTTAGAGGTAAAATAAATCATTTGTATATATTTGTGTTCATATTTACCTATATAATCTACTAATAAAGTTTAAGAACATAATATTACGGGATGCACGGAAAATTAGTCGATAAAACTTACCTCACTGCAAAGACGTTACGGTTCACAATGGTGTTTCAGTTGGAGAGGAGGAGAATTGGGTGATGATGGAGGCAGGAAACGGAAATCAAAATTCAAATTTTAACCCCAATACTTTTATATACTACAAAAATATACAAATATTTCCATCAGTTTTCTAAAATTAAAATTTTTTGAGCATGTTTTAATTTATTATTTTGAAAATTTTAATAGTTGGTAATAAAGTAGCTTTGTTTTGCAGCTTTTGTAATGACGTCACGGGCGCAGCCGCAGTTTGACAGACGGCAATGCAGAAGCATATCGATTTTTAACGTCGTCTACAGTTTTAGTGTCCGTCTATTAGTGTAGTAGTGTTGTTTCATGCTAAATTCAGTGAATGGGATTTTTTATTGAAGTAGCGGTGTAAATTACCTGGTTATAAGATGACCAAGGACAGGCTTCAAGCTTTAAAAGCTGTAAGTATGCTTTATGTTACTAGTATTACACCCAATTTGACATCAATAATACTATACTAGTTTCTATGTTATGCACAGGGATTGACTTTGAAATAAGTTGAAAAAGTATTGTAATTGTTTGGTTTCTCAGGTACTACTTGTTGCCAATCATGATGAGTTCATCTGTATTGTTTTACAACAAATGAATCACCATTCAATCAATGAGGAAAGTGAGAATAATCTCAGTTTCACATATAGGGATGGAGCATGTCAGGGAGAAAACCCAGCCCCACCCCCTGATATTTAAACTTGCATTGGGTATGGTCAAAATGATTTGGTTAATTTTCTATGAATTGACTGTTCACAATGTTTTAGCCTTAATAAATTTATGGACCAAACTTTTGACAGTTTTTATCTCTGAAACTGTATAAAAGACCGTAGGCAAGCATTTGTTTTTTTCTAAAAATTTAAAGTGAAAAGAAAACGCGTGTTCAAGTATTAGTGAAGGATTAAGTTTAAGTATTTTAAGTTTACTATATAGGCCTAGAAGTTATATCTAACATTACTTATCACTTGGCAAGCCTCTTAAGTTACGTTGATTTTATTGAGATTAGAACAGAAACACACAAATTTCACATCATATTTTGTCTACACAGTTGTTATCACAGTAACTTACGTGACATCTAATAATTCTTATTTAACTTACAGTAGGGTCTTAAGTTACTTAACTTAAAGAGTTAAGTAACTTAAGACCTTAACATCTTAAGGGTTACCTTAAGACCTCCCAAAAGGAAGGCGGTTGTACATACTATAGAGACCTTTGATCGTGTTGACAACCGACTACTGTAATCTAATGTGCTTTGCACGCGAGGGTTCGAATCCGCTAATGATGTATACTTGAGGGTTGACTATTATGTAGATTCTTTGATTAAAACTCACATTTTATAACTGCACAAACAAACTTTATTAATTGACGCCAGAGACATACTTAAGTTTACATTATTAACATTGAGAATTCCCCGACTATGGCTACTTAACTATCTGAGTTCGGCTATCCTGGTGGGGGTATACGGTACCTACGATACATCATAAATTAGTCTAATCAACCTAAGTTACTGTTTCAACCGGTAATATATCATTCATTCTCTGCGAAACTGTAACTTAAAACCTCTGGCCACAACTTCTACAAAAAGTTAAGTTACTTGGTTACCAAGCTGTAATTTTAATTGAAATTATGTTTTTTTTTTTGTCCTAGGACGCTAGGCACGAGCCTAGAATTGTTTTTCACATTACTTCAGGCTAGACCTAGGGGTTAAAAATAGCAATATCACTTAGATAAAATCCATTGGTGATCTGGCGGGGTTTGAACCCGGGACCCCAGGAACCAGAGTCCCGCGCTCTAACCACTAGACCAGCACGCTCCCCAAAAAGGCCAGCTCGGCTCGCGTAAAATTACGTTAAATAGGCTACTGTAGTAACTTATGGCCTATGAAAAACTAAGTTAGCCTACCTACTTTATGTTGGAAAAATATTTGCTCTGAATAAACTTAACTGTCATGAAAAATTAAATAAATTAGGCCTTGTCCTAGCCTAAACTTAATACAGGAGACCACTCAACTTTAAAAATGGTTGGGGCTGTGCAGAAACTTGACCCACTCAACATGGGCAATGGTGGTGGGGCAAAAAATGCAGCTAAATGATGACTATAACATGGGAACACCTTCACAGAGAACCTAACTTACGATATAGATTCAAGATTCAAGAGATCTATTGTACCATTAAGTAATACTATAAACTTATAGGCTATTATAGGATGAATAACGATAAATATCAAAACATATAACCGAATACTGTATATCAATAGTTAGGTACCTATCTGGTTCGATATTAATATCACAAAGCTGCCTATTTTACCATCATGATGTAAATAAAAACAACAACAAAGATATTAACAAAGCTTTTATTTCTTAGTTTCCACTTAATATTTAAGAATAAAAATGGAAGAAATGGTTTGTAGGTTTTTAGTTTACATTTCTTAATATATTGTTATCTTATGTTTTGGTTATTATTTGTTTTGTTACGCACTTTTCATAAAATAAATTGTGTTTAAGTTATGTTTTTATGATAATAGTTTTATTTAACTTATTAAATATCAATTAAAACGTCAACAAAAGCCAATTTTGAAATCAATGTTTGCAATAGAAAAAATTACATAGGCCTAATCGATATATCGAACCGAATAAGTTTCGATATACTGTATATTGTTATTCATACGATAATATACCGGTATCGTAGGTTCTCTGCAGAAGTCTACACTTAAACATTTAGAATAAAACTAGGCTACAGCTGGCTCATGTAACTTAAATGTAACAAAAATCATTTAAGTTTTTTTACAAATCAACTTTAGGTTTAAGTTACAGGAACTTAGTTGTTCATTGCTACCTAATGAAAATTCATTCTTATGGTTTCACTGTAGGCTATTTGTGATTCTTGTTTAATTAAACATGATTAAAATTAATTTAGGCCTCTGAGGCTATCTCAATCAGTAATTAACTTAGGTGTTTGGGGGAGCGAGCTGGTGTAGTGGTTGGCGGAACTTTGGTCCGTAAGGTCCCGGGTTCAAATCCCGCCAAATCACCAGATGGCTGCAACCCCTAGGTCTAGCCTGAAGTAATATAAAACAATCCTGAGCTCGTGCCTAGCGTCCTAGGACAAAAAAAGTTGCGTAACATCTAACACCTACCAGTATAGGCTATAGAGTTATTATGTTTAATTACATAGGCTACAGCTAAACATTTAATTGAATGTTTGTAAGCCAGAACTTTTTTCAATGGGGGTTCAGCTTCTTTAATCTATACTTATTTAATACGCAAGCATATTTTTTGTGACAATTACTCCTCCGAAACTACTGAACCGATTGTCATGTTTTTGGTGTCATTGGAAAGAGCGTAACGTGAAGTTGTGCAGGAAACTTTCTTTTTAGGGAAATAATGAGAGAGAGAGGCCCTGGAGCCCTTTAAAGTTTCGTATTTCTCCATAAGATTAAACATTGGAAACAAAAATTATTATGAAACTCCAGCTGTTGTCAAAATTCTCTGAAATCAAAAGTGAGAAGATGAGCATGTTAACCCTCCGAGTGTCCCTTGTTTTGGCCCTAATGTCTGCCTATTTTTAGCTCATTTGCAAGGTTTTATTAAAACGGATCTGAGAAGCTTAAAAACAATGTTAATTATACTGTTCTATATACCATTTTGTTTGGAAAATCATGGGCTTCAATATTATATATAAAACATAAGGAACATTTGTTAAAAAAAAAATTTTTAGGTTAAAAAAAAAATATTTTGGAAAATAAAAAAAAAAAATAAAAAAGTTTGCGCTCAATGAAATTGTATAAATTATAGGCCTATAAATATTTGAAAATAGCCACTTTGTTCTAAATTTTATGAGGATTACAAATATATAATCATATAGTGAGGTAAGTTATCAAATAAATAAGTTATGAGTGAAAAACAGATTTCAGTACATTGCGTTTGGCTAAGAATGCATAGCCTAACCATAGCTAGGAATCTGGCTGATAATTTACATCAATATCACTACCTACTTCTTCAGGATCATCAACCAGCCCTTCAAAATCACTTAAATCTTCTTATAATGCACCACGTATATCACTACTTTTGATTTTTAACACTAAAACAATGATAAACGTAATAAAACACATCAGTCATCGGTCTGAGGATAACCAAGCTGTTTACAGATACGCACGTCAGCTGTCTGCTACAATTACGATCGGCTCGGAGAACATTCAGCGCTGAGACAGACCTCTGGAGAAAGCTTAGAATATAACGAAAAGAACGATACCTAACTCGATCCAGTTCAATCTGGTTCAGTCAGTCACAGAGCCTTTGCCGTAAACAGTGTTCGTGAGTCGCTGCAGCGACGTATATAGAACAGTATAATTAACATTGTTTTTAAGCTTCTCAGATCCGTTTGAACAAAACCTTGCAAATGAGCTAAAAATAGGCAAAAAGAGTCGTCCTCCATTTTCTATTCTAAATTTGTTTACAACTACGCTTAAGGGATTTTCAAGACAACTAATGATTTAATTTACAAAAAAGCAAGCTTCTCTAGATAACTAGAGCATTCTTTAATTTAGAAATGATCATCGAGTCGCGTTATCAATGGCTCCAAATTGGCAGTTGGTCACATATACTTTGAAAGACGTATGTTTTTACATGTTTTGTCTTGTGTTTCAGGCGCAGAGTGATGATGATGATGTCGGTCCTGATGACGTCGCGGTCAACGTGGAAGGCCGCGACGGCTTCATGGACGAGTTCTTTGCGGAGGTAAGTCACACATGTCTAATCTTTGATTAAATTCATGCAATGTTGTAGTTGTTTAATGATGGGTTTGATGTGAAGAAGGTCAACATGGAATAACATTCTAAAGCCTCTCTTGTTAAAAAGTGTTTAAACTGTAATAAAGTTGCTGGGCAGGCTATTTTTGGCGAATTTCCCATATAGGGAATAAGCTATTACCGTAGTACTCTATATATGTGTCCGTTAGCACGATAACTCGAGCAAAAATGATCCGATTTTGATTAAATTTGGTATAAACGTGTACCGGTAAACCTACATTTATTCAAACGAGTTCGCGAACCAGCATGATCGGACTACGGGAACGGGGGTTTACAGGGGGTTTTATGGGGCAAAAATAGGGGTTTCCCATTTTTTACCCAAAAGCATAACATTTTTCAATTTCTTTCCAAACCATTTTGTAGAGCTTAAAAAAACAAATAATTTTTACAAAAAAACAAAAACAGTTTTACCCTCCCTGATGCAGCAAACCTAAGTACTTGTTAAACTAATTCTATTTAAATAGGAAATAAATGTTATATTTTTAAGTAGACATTTTAGTGTAAATCCAATCAGGCAAATGGAAATTCACTTAGTCTGCAGGTTTGCTGCGGCGGGGGTATTTTATGTGTAGGAAGTGTAGGGAGAGTATGAAACAGATGGAGGATGTAGGACATAGTTTAAACTAGAAATCCCTTTACCAATAATTTCGGGTTACCGTAATTCCATCCCCCCTTGGTTGAGACGTTTTTTTCCCTGGAGGGTAAGATTCCAACTGCAGGCCTCCAAGTCGTCCTACTTTTCCTACTTTTCCTACTTTTTAGTAGGAAAGTAGGAAAAGTCCTACTTTTTACACATTTGTCCTACTTTCCTACTTTTTTATAAAAATTATGTCGATTTTGCGATATTTTATTACACTTATTAATGTTTACTTATCAATATTTCCCAATGAGAAGTTTTTTCCTAAAAAATATGACTGACTGAGATAATTTTTTTATAAAACAATTTGTTAAATGATTTTAAATTTATATGTTCCAGTACCGTAGTATCTGTATGGTTAATCTTATCAACATTGTTATTGGGTGAAAACATTTTTATTTTCAAAGACATGGCAATACTATTGTGATAGAAAATAAAAATTGTGATTATTATCAGTGCTTACTATTCTGACATGTCTTTTATAGTTCGGCCGCTTAGAAAACGACCTGCGTGCTAATGCTAAACCAATGCTGGAGGAGGTTGCTTTCTAAGCGGCCGAACTATAGATTCCCCAATGAAGTGAACTGAGGGGAAATCAATGCTCCTGGGGAGCCCTGGGATACTAGTTCAAAAGTAGTTTACTTTAGCACTTATCGGTCCAGTGTTTCCCTGATTAGCCTAAACATGATTTTTTGACATAACTGTATTCAAAATAAATTAAGGCTTAAGTTTAAGTTTAAATGTCCAAGTTTCACTGGCTCAAATAGTTTTTACTCATTACAATTCAAACATTCCTACTACTTTTAAGATTGCTCTAATCTAACTAATTCAAAATACTTATGGAACATATTTTTAGAATTTTATATTATATCTAGTTCCGTACTTTATAGGCCTACTTAAATAACTATTCATGCTTCTGTTTTCCACCCAAAAAAATCCATTTTACTTTTATATTAATTTTAGTTCTGAAATATTAAATAATATAAAAAAGAACAAATTTCTTATTCACAACACCATTTTAAACACAAATTAGGGCTGGTTAACGTTAGGGAAACATATTTATTTTTATCCTTTATTTAATGCTGCTTGTCCTAAATATTTTTTCGTGATGACTGTAGATAATGACTCCTTAACATTTTAATTTCTCTTGTGCGTTACTTCTGAATATTTGGTGTACAATCTCAGCTAAAACTATATCCGGCCTTTTAGTTGAAGATTTTTTTAAATAAAAATAATTAATTATTGATTTTAATTTTAAAATTTATAAATAGAATTATTTTAGTTATGTTTCCAAATTGTCTGGACATATTTTGTGGACTTCTTACTTGGGCTAAAGCCGGGTTTTCCTAGGCGCGGAAGCGGAGAGCGGACTCCACTTGTCTTAGGTAATTTAATGTTTCTGTTTTCCTAGAAGCGGAGCGGAACACCATGTTAATTTCTTTTCCGCTCTCCGCGTTCCTCTCTCCGCTTCCGCGTCTAGGACCCAGCTTAAGACAAACATAAAATTCCATATAAGTATGGGTCTAAAATGCCTAGATTTTAATTTGTCGGTCTATTTGTGATTTTTAAGAATTATTTTATATCTTGGGCATTTTTCAAGATAGAACTTTTAAAATGGATATAAATGTGTATTTTAGAAGGTGATAAGAGCTTGCAAAATTTTGATCCAATATCTCAAGCCGTTTCAATATGGCAGCCATTTAAAATATTTAATGCCAAATTTTATTTGAAACCGTAAATATTTAGAATATAGTTTCCTGGATCAAAAAGATAGAGAATTCAAATACAAATCAAATGAGACCTTGTTTTTTTTAAATCTGATGACAAACAACCAAATCAGTTTTTTTCTAAATTTGTTTACGCAACTTAATAGGACTACCCATACTGCTCTGAAAAATAACAAATAAGAATACAGTATGGTAGTGCTATTAAATTGTGTAACCGAATGTTGAAAAAAAACTTATTTATGGTTGTTTGTCATCCGATTTTACAAACAAGGTCTCATTTGATTTGGATTTGAATTCTCTATCTTTTTGATCCTGGAAACCATTTTCTAAATATTTACGGTTTTCATGAAATTTGGCATTAAAGATTTTAAATGACTGCCATATTGAAACGGCTTGAGATATTGGATCGAAACTTTGCAAGCTCTTTTCACCTTCTAAAATACACATTTATAACCATTTTAAAAGTTCTATCTTGAAAAATGCCCAAGATATAAAATAATTTTTAAATGTCACAAACAGACCGACCAACAAAAATTTAGGCATTTTAGACCCATGCATACTTATATAGAATTTTATGTTTGTCTTAGCCCCAGAAACAAGTCCACAAAATATGTCCAGACAATTTGGAAACACCCTGTATATTTATATACACTATTATATTTGATAAACTATTGTGTATGCTAGTATTATTTGGTTTTTAATATATATTGTATCAGCAAAAAAGTTTGATTTGTATGTAAAATTAAGTCCTACTTTTCAGTAAAAAGTCCTACTTTTTGCTGAAAAAGTCCTACTTTTCCTACTTTTTTGAGGTCAAAAACCACTTGGGGGCCTGCAACTGCAAAAAGTGCACGTAGTCTATGCAGATTTGCTGAGGCAGGGGTATTTTACTCCTCAATTAATAAGTGATCAACTTGTGATTTGGGGACTTAATGTGCACTTTTATTTTTTCCAAAAAGTTTGTGTGTTGTGAATTTTCACAAGGAACATCACTAAAAATATGGTATTACATTTTTAAGAACTTCAGCCTGTGTTTGTATAATTTTAATGAGATACTAGGTGAAATCTGTAGAAATCAACGGTTACTGTTGAGGTTTCAAGCAAAATCGTTTAACTATCAATCAATGATAAATAAGCTCAATGTTGGAGAATTTTGGGTTGTTCGTGATTCAGCAGTGTGCTTTAAGTATGTCCAATATTAATAATCAATAGCTCAAATGAACGCTGGTATTTCACAGAAGGTTCTTGGATCAAAACAAATAGGATAACATAGTTAGAATTGAATAAATATATCTAAAATAATTTTCCATATCCGAGAAATCAAATTTATGGTTTTTAATTGAGTAATACAGTACCGGTATCTCTTAACTGATTCAAACGATCAATATCTCAAATGAAATCCTTTATTTCTAGGAGTCCTATTTAAAGACCAAGACATATAAAATAACTAAAATAAAAATAGTGTTACGTATCATTGATTGCAGATAAGTCCTAAAATAATTATAATTAGGCCTATTGTTGATTCTCAATAGTTCAAATGAAAGCTTGTATTTCAGTGAAGGTTTTTGCACCAAAAAATTTATAGAATAATGTAATTAGACCTGGTGAAATATATTAATTGATTACTTTAATTAAAGTAAGAATTCAAAAACATATTTACTGATAAATGAATAACGATGGTTGATGGTAAATATGTGCGTGCATACCTTTAATTTAAGACCAAAATTATGGAAATTAGAAGAAGAGCCAAACCGACTCGGAAAAGAAAACCCAATAATTTTAAATATATAATTTTTTGGCTCACTTTTGGATTGAAATCAGTTGGATCGTTAAAATCAGTTATATGACCTTTTCACTACTGCAATAATTTAACTGAATGAAATTTGCAGATATCTCTTTAAATTTGTTAGCTTTCCTAGTCACAAATCAATTAGCCTAACTAATTGAACTATTGTTTGAGTGTTTGCATTGTTAATTAGTATAATGGGTATAACATCTCAGTGATTCATGTAATTTATTAGACCAATAGATATTGGTTTGTTCAAAGCCTACAAAATACACGTTTCAATAATTAAATGAAATGAAAATATTTATTAATGGGAATATTACGACCACATGGTCCTTTCTTACGGTTAAACTCTTATAAACTTAGTTTAAACTAAATAATATGTTTTATTACACTTTCTTTTGCTTTAAACAAAATAATAATTAAATACTTAAGTGACAAATCTTCGTCCCTGTATCATTGTCGATCATTTGAGATGGGGGTCCGTATTTCAACCCAGTGCAATTTGTTGTGTTACAAATTGTACAAAGTTACAATTTTGTTTTTCAAGGTAAAACAGGGTTCCCTAAGTGTTTTAATTTTTTTATAATTTTTATGTTTCACCTAAAGATGTTTAGCTTATGTAAAAAAAAGTTTAACATTTTTTTCTTGATCTACGCCAAAAGGAAGTACTTAAACACTGTTATAGAAAACAGTCCAAACATGTGAAAACATTATGTTGTGAATGTTCCGGGAATCAAACGTGTCCCCTTCACCTAAGTCCGAGACGCTAACCACTA